ACTTGAGAGAGTTAGTCCAGGGGAAACCAGCCAATCTCTGAATGGGCTTGTGAGGGAAAGGAAAGGAGATATACTTTTTTATATATGTAGATATTAATTTGCTAAAAGCAAGGGATACCTAGGTCCCTCCTCTGAATGCATAAAAACCACCTATATTTCCAGACCCTCCAAGGATCCCTGTTTTCCAGAGACAGTCCCGGATTTACAGAAGTTGTCCAGGTTTCTGATTTGATCCCAAAATGTCCTGTTTATCCTTAGGACATCCCTATTGTCATTGGAGAAACGTTGGAGGTTATGAAGTTATGCGACCCCTGAGCCAAGGAGATAAGTAACTACAGTGGTACCTCGGGTTAAGTACTTAATTCGTTCTGGAGGTCCGTTCTTAACCTGAAACTGTTCTTAACCTGAAGCACCACTTTAGCTAATGGGGCCTCCCGCTGCCGCTGCCACACCGCCGGAGCACGATTTCTGATCTCATCCTGAAGCAAAGTTCTTAACCTGAAGCACTATTTCTGGGTTAGCGGAGTCTGTAACCTGAAGCGTATGTAACCTGAGGTACCACTGTATACAGTATACAATGTATACAGCCTTTAGAAGACATCCCCTGCAAAGGGGAAGTTTTTGATGTTTAATGTTTATGGTGTTTTGTATCTGTTGGAAGCCACACAACAAAAACAACAATTTCACTTCAGGGATGTGGGTGGCGCTGTGGGTTAAACCACAGAGCCTAAGACTTGCCAATCAGAAGGTTGGTGGTTCGAATCCCCACGACGGGGTGAGCTCCCGTTGTTCCGTCCCTGCTTCTGCCAACCTAGCAGTTTGAAATCACGTCAAAGTGCAAATAGATAAATAGGTACCACTCCGGCGGGAAGGTAAACAGCATTTCCATGCGCTGCTCTGGTTCACCAGAAGTGGCTTAGTCATGCTGGCCTCATGTCCCGGAATCTGTACGCCAGCTCCCTCGGCCAATAAAGTGAGATGAGCGCCACAACCCCAGAGTCAGTCACGACTGGACCTAATGGTTAGGGGTCCCTTTACCTTTTTATATTCACTTCATTATTATTTAAGATGCCCCTCTTTCTCCTCCTCTCAGTGGGAGAAGGATCCCAGTCCCTGTACAGTGGTACCTTGGTTGTCAAACGGCTTGGCTCCTGAACAAATCAGCTCGCGAATGCCGCAAACCCGGAAGTCTAAGTGTTCCAGTTTGTGAACGTTTTTCGGAAGCCAAATGTCCAACACTGCTTCCGATTGAGTGCAGGAAGCTCCTGCAGCCAATTGGAAGCTGTGCCTTGGTTTTCGAACCGTTTTGGGAGTTGAATGGACTCCCGGAATGGATTAAGTTAGACAACCAAGGTCCCACTGTATCGTTCTCCCGGTGGCTGGAAAGCAGATGCGAGGCACCCCAGTTTTTGAACGGCAAACAGCCGAAAGGGAGAGAATTGGACACCCTCTTCTCCCTGTTGTTGTGTCAGTCAAATTTGCAGCTACGGTACCTTGCAAATTCAGTGGGGGTGGTGGAGAACTGTGAAGAGGCTGATAATGTAGCTCCTTGTTATGGCGATTTTTATCATATGTGGTGGTCATGTAACAAAATAAAAGAGTTTTGGGAATCGATCTATAACGAGTTAAAAAAAGATGTTTAAATACACTTTTCCAAAAAAGCCGGAAGAATTTTTGCTAGGTTTGGTGGGGGAAGATTATATCTGTATGCAACAACAGCAGCCAGAGTTTTGATAGCCCAGAAGCGGAAGTTACAGGAAATTCCGACTGTAAGGGAATGGCAGATAAAGCTGGTTGAATACACTGAAATGGCAAAATTGACACACAGAATTTGTAATCAGGAGGAGATGAAGTACCAAAAAGAATGGAGTAAATTTATGGTATATATAAGTGAGAACTGTAGAAATATGAAAACGTTGGCAAGATTGAATTAAAACTTATGTCATGGTGTAATGTTTAATCAATGAAACTGTGAATTATAGATGGGAATAAGAAAACTTTCGGAAGGGAAGGACGGAAGTCAACAGCTCTATGGAGCATAAAATGGGATATATGTAATAAGATGTGATGTCTTTGTTGGTTGGTGGTGGTGGTGTTCTTAAATCTTAATAAAAATCATTTTTTTAAAAAAGATAATGTAGCTCCTTGTAGCTCCTCTAGCCCAGCTCCTGGTTCCTGTTATAGTTATAGTTTTTCTTATTGTTATTTCCTCAGGGGGTTAATAAAGGAACAACTCCCCCTGGCCTAAAAAGGTGATGATGCACACGGAGCCAAATGATTTGCTGCCTGTCTGAAATGCAGCAGCTGTCCAAAGCTGATCGACTCATCCTTCTCCAGCAGGTGCAGTCGCAGCTGGTAGAAATGGCAAGATATTCTTGGGTAAGGAAGCTCAGACACGTTAGCATAGGCTGTTCTTTCTTCCTCTGTGGGACATGCCGCGATCCAAGAATTTGTGCCTATTGAACAATTCTCTTAAAAATGATGTAGCATCAGGGAGGACTCCCCCCGCCCCCGTCAAATACACTTTGGAAGCAATTGGAAAGGACCTTTTGAAAACGAGCTAGCAAGGCTTTTTCTTGTCTCTTTTGAACAGTTCATTGCTATGCAAAGAAAGCCAGTGTGGTGTAGTGGTTAAGAGCGGTAGACTTGTAATCTGGGGAACCGGGTTCGCGTCTCCGCTCCTCCACATGCAGCTGCTGGGTGACCTTGGGCTAGTCAAACTTCTCTGAAGTCTCTCAGCCCCACTCACCTCACAGAGTGTTTGTTGTGGGGGAGGAAGGGAAAGGAGAATGTTAGCCGCTTTGAGACTCCTTCGGGTAGTGATAAAGCGGGATATCAAATCCAAACTCTTCTTCTTCTATGCATGTTTATTTGGACAAGAATCCCTCTGCAGGTACGTACTAGCAAATAATAATAATAATAATAATAATAATAATAATAATAATAATAATAATAATATATTTATACCCCGCCCATCTTGCTGAGTCTCCCCAGCCACTCTGGGCAGCTTCCAATCAAGTATTAAAACATGCAGAGGGTTAAAGCCTTAAATGCACTGTGTTTTCTGCTTCCAGGAAAAGAATTCCCAGCAGTTTGGAAACTTCCCAGCTCTGCTCTCACCTGAGTATTTCAGACAGCTTTAGTAGGGACCCCCAATTCTCTGGGAAGATAATTCACTGTTTCTTGACTTTTAAAAACCATTCCCCTTCTTCGCCCAATCCCAGCCCTCAAACACAACCCCTTTCCCCTGTTATTCCCCAAAAGCCCAGCCGTAGCCATCTGTTTGGCAAATGAATGCACCTGAAAGGATATTACATAAGGACCTAGTTAGTTGCTAATCCTAGATTTTAAATTTCTTTTACAAGTGTCTTAAAATTACAAATTGTGCTTAAATAGGATTAGACCGGGGAGGGGGGTGGGGAAACGAAGGAATACAGTTCTTTCCAAACACACTGTCATTGTATATTCATGAATGTAGCCCAAGTCATTGCATTTTTTTAACTTTTAAGTCCGGTTGATTCAATATCTTGGTGGATGAGTTACCCCAAGAGATGGACATTTGGGGAGTGCAACCCTGAATCTCTCCTTGTTGGTGTTGCATACCATCAACCATGGTATCCTTCTGGACCATCTCACAGGAGCATAAGAAGATACGTTGACAGATTTTGTCATTCCTGGGAGGCAGGTCCCAGATAGTAGTTCTCCTCCAGGGCCATTGACTTATCATGTGCTGCAGGGTTCCAGATTGTCCCCATGTGCTTTTCAGTCAATCTGCTGTCCAGAGATTTGGGCATCAGTAGACTGATGGCACTCATCTCTCTATCTCCCCTTTTTGCCAGAGCCTAAGGATGCATTAAAGCTATAGTTAAAGCTATGGTTTTCCCAGTAGTGATGTATGGAAGTGAGAGCTGAACCATGAAGAAGGCTTATCGCCAAAGAATTGATGCTTTGGAATTATGGTGCTGGAGGAGACTCTTGAGAGTCCCATGGACTGCAAGAAGATCAAACCTATCCATTCTGAAGGAAATCAGCCCTGAGTGCTCACTGGAAGGACAGACCGTGAAGCTGAGGCTCCAATACTTTGGCCACCTCATGAGAAGAGAAGACTCCCTGGAAAAGACCCTGATGCTGGGAAACATGAAGGGCACAAGGAGAAGGGGACGGCAGAGGACGAGATGGTTGGACAGTGTTCTCAAAGCTACCAACATGAGTTTGACCAAACTGCAGGAGGCAGTGGAAGACAGGAGTGCCTGGCGTGCTCTGGTCCATGCGGTCACGAAGAGTCGGACACGACTAAATGACTAAACAACAACAAGGATGCATTGGGAACCATAAACTAAGTACCCATCAGCTGTGAGTCACTGGATGTGGAAAAACATAAGAAGTGAATCTGGATTGAAAAAGGACTGCTGGATCATCAGGTAACCAGTTCTTCTGGCAATAGGTGTACAGCTTGTTTTAGACATGGTCAGAGCCGCAGACTTGGGCTACAGATGTGGGTGCCCAGCGTGCATTTTGGGGCCTCTTCCTCTGCCACAGGGCCTCTGTTGGTGTCTGCTACCTTCTGCTGATGGCGTTCTAACCTGTTTATTTACTTTCATTTGGTTTTTCCATGTGTCTGTTTGCAACATTTATTGTTTGCTTCTGTTACTTCTTTGAACAAAACCATTTAAAATTTAAAACATGCAAATAATAGGATTGTAGCCTTACTGCAAATCCCGCAGGAGGTAAACACTCGGGCCCATCACCAATAGCCTAATTTTTCATCCAGTGGAAAGCAAGAAAAAAACTTCTGCCCTGGCCAGTGTGAGGCAATAGGGCCTGGGATGTGAATCTGCCACTCTGCTCTCCACCAATTCCCTTGAGAATTGACTTCTCAGTTATTAATTTTTAAAATTGGTCACTATACAAGTAACTGGTGTGCATATATAGCAACAAAGTAAGGACTCAGCTCCATTAGTGAAGAAACAGCAAATTTAATGCACTATAAACATTCAACATCAGATGGAGCAAGAGAACAGGAATTTTAAAATGTGTGATTTTCCATAGAGATTTTTTTCTTTTGTTAAATTTTTGATCAAATTTCTGACTTCTTTATGGAAGGTTTTTCCCCTGTGTCTAGATCCACCCTAAGTTAGCAATCAATAGTAAAACAACAGCCATTTCGAAAACCAGCAGGCCATGCTGAGTGCAGTGATAAAAAACTTTTCACAAAGAAGAAGAGCTACCTGGCTCCAAATGACAGCAGGGAGCAGGACTTTACGGATTTCTTTCAGCAGAGAGTCCTAGTATACCCGGGGTTGCTCCTGAGAAGGACCTGTTTTATGTGGATGCTAATCGGGTCTCCATAAGAATTTGGAGCAGGCCCTCACCAGATGTTTCTCAGATTTGGGGAAGGCAGAGGGGAGAGGGTTTTGCCACAGAGCATACACTGAACTGTAGCCAACCCTGGCTCAGTGTTAAATGTCTGTGTATGTTAGATATGTTTCCAAATACCTGGACTGCCACATTCACACATTTAGGCGTATACCTAAAAACACAGCACGTGAAGAGCTTAGGATCAAACGGCGTATCACGGCACGTTTCCTCAGAAATCATTATGCTCCTTCCCTCACCCTGGCAGTTCTCTGGCCTTCACCTAGAGTCTGTTATTTCCACGAGTAAAACTGTCTTTTATTGTTTATGCATGAGGACGAAACGGAAATAGATATAAATACATATGAACAGCATGGCCCCAGAAGCAAGAAGCAAAAAGGCAGCTTCCAAAAAGCTTGGTTTAGACAGATTGGCAGATACTGTTCTGTAGTGAAGACCGTCTCCAGACGCCATCCATTCTGGAGCAGAGTTGAGTGCAGTCTCATTTTGCAGCGCTTTTTCGAAGAGCTGGTCTGGAGTTTGTGCCTTCCTTAAGAAGGGCGAGTGGCAGGACTCCTGCGGTTTTGTGAATTCACTTAGGAATGGGTTGTCTTTTGCAAGGTCCTTAGAAGGAGGAGGCAGGAGAGGTGTTTCCAAGTTAGGGCTGGGAAGAGCGGGGCGAGTGAGGCGATCTCCAGAACAGCAAGGTACAGAAGGACATTTTTCTGGGTGCCTTTTGGAACGCGAGGAAGCATGTTCTCTTCTGCGGTGCTTTTTGGTGGGTGAAGAATCTCCTTTTGCGTGCCTTGGGGACGAGAGGTCTTCAGGGCGCCTTTTGAACTTTCTTGAGTGAAAAACAGAATGGAAAGGTTTCTTACAGCAAGGACATTCAGCCTTGGTTTCCAACAAGTCCTGTGTACAAGAAAAGCAGAAGCTATGTAAACAAGGGTTTACATATAGCATATTGCCAAAAGTTCTGAAACAGAGAGGGCACGTGGAATATTGAGACGCATCAGGCGCCCTTATTGTCTGGTGCAAATCCTTTGTGCCAGCTTTGGGCGAAGGGCTTTTGGCCTCTGTGATCTCCTCATTTTGTGACATTGGATCTGTAAGTGAGAAGAGGAACATTTTAGCATCCGCAGTGCTATTAAGAAGGTACAGAACAAGGGTGGGGAAACTGTGGCCCTCTGGTATGTTAAAGGTAAAGGTAAAGGTACCCCTGCCCGTACGGGCCAGTCTTGACAGACTCTAGGGTTGTGCGCCCATCTCACTCAAGAGGCCGGGGGCCAGCGCTGTCCGGAGACACTTCCGGGTCACGTGGCCAGCGTGACATCGCTGCTCTGGCAAGCCAGAGCCGCACACGGAAACGCTGTTTACCTTCCCGCTAGTAAGCGGTCCCTATTTATCTACTTGCACCCGGGAGTGCTTTCGAACTGCTAGGTTGGCAGGCACTGGGAACGAGCAATGGGAGCGCACCCCGCCGCGGGGATTCGAACTGCCGACCTTTTGATCGGCAAGCCCTAGGCGCTGAGGCTTTTACCCACAGCGCCACCCGCATCCCATCTCTGGTATGTTACTGCGTTGCAATTCCTGTTATTTCTAGACTTTAGCATTGCTGGCTGGGGCGGAGGGTAGAAGGAATCCAACATGGAGGGTCACAGGCTCCCTTCACGTGGTATTGAGCAATTTGGCATGTAACCTTTACAGTGACCCGCTGAACAACATCAGTATTCCCAACTGAGGACCTGAAACTTAAAGATACAGTCATACCTCGGGTTGAATGTGCTTCAGCTTGAGTGCTTTCGGGTTGTGCTCCGCGGCAACCCAGAAGTAACAGAGCGTGTTACTTCCGGGTTTTGCCGCTTACGCATGTGCAGATGCTCAAAATGATGTCGCGCGCATGCACAGAAGCGGCAAAATGCGACCCGCGCATGCGCAGATGCGCCGTTGCATCTTACGTTCTATCCAGGATGCAAATGGGGCTCCCGGAATGGATCCCGTTCACATCCCGAGGTACCACTGTAGTGGCTTGTTGAAGGGTGAGGCAAAATTTGAATCCAAAGCTTCCTGGTACATATTATTATTATTTATTAATTTCAGTTATTTTAAATGATAAAAAGTCTCAAACTGGTTTGACAAAAGTAAAGTGCAACAAACAAAAACAGTCTAAACCCAGAAAATTTTAAAACAGTGATAATACAGAAATACCGTGGAACCTCTAGTTACGAACTTAATTCATTCTGGAGGTCCGTTCTTAACCTGAAACTTTCCTTAACTAGAGGCGTGCTTTTGCTAGTGGGGCCTTGCTGCTGCTGCGCCACCGGCACATGATTTTCGTTCTCACCCTGGGGCAAAGTTCTCAACTCAAGGTAACTCTTCCAGGTTAGCGGAGTTTGTAACTTGAAGCATTTGTAAAACTGAGGCGTTTGTAACCCAAGGTACCACTGTATACAAATGCTCACCCAGCAACATAACAATAAGGGCCAAGTCTTACCCACACCACTAAAAGGCAAGCACCACCATAGGTAAAAGGTAAAGATACCCCTGCCCGTACAGGCCAGTCTTGACAGATTCTGGGGTTGTGCGCCCACCTCACTCAAGAGGCCGGGGGCCAGCGCTGTCCGGAGACACTTCCGGGTCACGTGGCCAGCGTGACAAGCTGCATCTGGTGAGCCAGCGCAGCACACGGAAACGCCGTTTACCTTCCCACCAGTAAGCAGTCCCTATTTATCTACTTGCACCTGGGGGTGCTTTCGAACTGCTAGGTTAGCAGGCGCTGGGACCGAGCAACGGGAGCGCACCCTGCCGCGGGGATTCGAACCGCCGACCTTTCGATCGGCAAGCCCTAGGCGCTGAAGCTTTTACCCACAGCGCCACCCGCGTCCCTACCACCATAGGTATCATTTATTAACCAGTGGCCTGCATTAGTCTGGTGCCTAAAGCTGACAAAGGTATCACCAGGTGTGTCTCCCTGAGAGAACATCCCACAGATTGGGGAGCACCAATGATAAGGCTTGTTCTCAGGTACTCACCCTTCATACCACTCTTGGACTAGACTCAAATCTCAATCTCTTAGAGGCTGCACTACACTATTGCCACCCAACAGCAGACCCTCCAACAATTCTCCGATGAAAATAGGGACGCCCCATTCCACAGTGATAATTTTACTATTTATACCCCAGACATCTGACTGGGTTGCCCCAGCCACCCTGGGAAGCCTCCAACATATATAAAAAACACTATAAAACATTAAACATTAAATAAACTTCCCTATACAGGATTGCCTTCAGACAGCTTGGGGGTTGGATAACTCCATACCCTCCAACTTTTCTCCAAGGAAAACAGGGACGTCCTAAGGAACATCGGAACATTCCAGGATCAAATCAGAAACTGGGACGGCTTCCTTAAATCAAGGACATCCCTGGAAAATAGGGAAACTTGGAGGGTCTGCAATAGCACCCAGACAGAAATTCAGGACAAATGTAAACTTTTGTATAGGCAAAGCTTCTAAGACCTTATTGAGCTTTATATGTTAATTCCAGCCTTCTGGAATTCGAGGAAAAAGAAAAACTCATTGTAGTTTTGAAAGGTTCTGTCTGCCATCTTGATTCAAAATGCCATCTGATTGTATCCAAATATAGATGAAAAACAGCTCCTTGATCTCAGGAACCATCGAGCAAGATTTGGTTACAGTTTCTTAAGAGCTGTCCGAACGCATAGAGAACAAACAGCTTTCCAAAATGTACAGTAGGTTTGGTATTTAGTTGCTAACCATTACCATTGCAATTAAACAATTGCATGAATTAAACAATTCCTCCTCATGAGGCCGGAGGAACATCTCCTGGCTGTGAGTCGTGGAGGGCGCTCCCTGCAAGGCCCTTTCCACCTGGCCTAGGGGGTGAAACCCACACTCACCAGCCCCACTGAAGAGGCTCCTCATGAGGCCGGAGGAACATTGCCTGGCTATTGTTTTATTGATTTAATATGCTGTAAACTGCTTTGAGATTTTTATTAAAAATATAAAGCGATATAAAAGTAATGGTAAAGGGACCCCTGACTGTTAGGTCCAGTTGTGGCTGACTCTGGGGTTGCAGCGCTCATCTCACTTTATTGGCCGAGGGAGCCGGCGTACAGCTTCTGGGTCATGTGGCCAGCATGACTAAGACGCTTCTGGCGAACCAGAGCAGAGCACGGAAACGCCGTTTACCTTCCTGCCAGAGCAGTACCTATTTATCGACTTGCACTTTGACGTGCTTTTGAACTGCTAGGTTGGCAGGAGCAGGGACTGAGCAACAGGAGGTCACCCCGTCGCGGGGATTTGAACCGCCGACCTTCTGATCGGCAAGTCCTAAGCTCTGTGGTGTAACCCACAGCACCACCCGCATCCCGTAAAGCAGTATAGAAATTTTTAAAAATAAATATCAATAAATATCTTAAGAGCTGTCCAAATGCATAGAAAACAGACAACTTTACAAAATGTACAATAGGTTTAGTACTTAGTCGCTAACCATTACCATTGCAATTAAACAACTTATCACATGTTCATTCATCCCAACTTAGTCTTCCGTCCTCCCTTCCCCTCCCCTTCAACACAACCCTTGAAATTTCAAACCCACCCTAAAAGGTTCAGTTAAAACCTACGTATTTGTTATTGAATCTGTTACACATTCAGGCCTCTACATATGCACAGCAAAGAAAGAAATCAGGAAAATTTGAATGAGAGAGAAAAAGCAGGGAGAGAAAGCAAGTAAAGCAGGGAAGAGAGAAAGCACCAAATGATTTTCAATAAAAACCTTTTCATTCTGCATATACCCCATAAGTCTTCTTTATTCTTCTCTTACATACAGTGGTACCTCAGGTTACATACGCTTCAGGTTACATACGCTTCAGGTTACAGCCTCCGCTAACCCAGAAATAGTGCTTCAGGTTAAGAACTTTGCTTCAGGATGAGAACAGAAATCGGGCTCCGGCAGCGCGGCAGCAGCTGGAGGCCCCATTAGCTAAAGTGGTGCTTCAGGTTAAGAACAGTTTCAGGTTAAGTACGGACCTCCGGAACGAATTAAGTACTTAACCTGAGGTACCACTGTACTTCGATTTTTATGTCACTGAAGTCTCATGAGATAAGCCAAGACAGTTTCATTAAGATCCAAACAAATTTATCGGGGAGTGGAATGGGGAAGGGGGAAAGTCATAAACCCTTAAGTCCCCAATGAATGATTTGAAAGCCCCATCACGGGTCCAGGAGATCCAAAAGAATTTTGACCAAACACGTGAAAATTTCCTTGGGGGTGGACAATGAGGGGACAAGGTGTTCAGGCCTACCTGAAAATAGCAAGGGTTGTTCAAGGTGTTACATTAGAAACCTGGGCCTTACATGGAATAATATGTTTTTTAATTTTAAAATAAATAAGCAATTACAATATACACAATAATTTCTGCTACATTGGGGGACTTCTGGCTGGGAAGGACAAACGTACATCTTAATGGCGAAGTGAGTTGCTCAGTGAGTCTCTCAGGAGATGCAGAAGAGATGATGGAGGAGCGATGCTCTTCAAGGTTCCAAGACGGTTAGAGTTTGTGGAAGCTCCAACTGTCACTCCCAGTGTAGCGTCCCTATTTTCCAGGGATGTCCCTGATTTAGAGAAGCTGTTTCCCGGATTCTGAATGTCCCTCTTTCCGTATTTTCATTGGAGAAATGTTGGAGGGTATGGAGTTATCTGGCATGGGACGCGGGTGGCACTGTGGGTAAAACCTCAGTGCCGAGGGCTTGCCGATCGCATGGTCGGCGGTTCGAATCCCCGCGGCGAGGGTGAGCTCCCGTCTTTCGGTCCCAGCTCCTGCCCACCTAGCAGTTCGAAAGCACACTTAAGTGCAAGTAGATATATAGGGACCGCTTTATAGCGGGAAGGTAAACAGCGTTTCCGTGTGCTGCGCTGGTGCTGGCTCGCCAGAGCAGCTTCGTCACGCTGGCCACGTGACCCGGAAGTGTCTCCGGACAGCGCTGGCCCCCGGCCTCTTAAGTGAGATGGGCGCACAACCCTAGAGTCGGACACGACTGGCCCGTACGGGCAGGGGTACCTTTACCTTTGTGGAGTTATCTGACCCCCGAGCTGCCTGAAGGCCATCCTGTATAGGGAAGTTTATATAATGTTTAATGTTTTATTATGTTTCCAAATATGTTGGAAGCTGCCCAGAGTGGCTGGGGAAACCCAGTCCAGGTGTGTGGGGCATCAATAGTAAAATTATCGTTGTGGAATGGGACGTCCCTATTTTCATCGGAGAAATGTTGGAGGGCTCAGCGCTTTTTTTCAAAGAAGCCATCTCTCACTGCTTCTTGCTGGCTATCTCTCCTGACAGACCTTCGGGAGGAATGGCTTCCAAGCAAGGACAGCTATCAGAAGACAGCCTGGTCCTGATGTGGGCAGCATGGGAACTTTTTTAAGCAAAACAAACAAGATGGGCAGGCTTGGGGAATGGAAAACTCTGGCCCTTTCCATAAAGTCCAGTAAGGTAAGTTGGCAACCTTCTCCCAAAAATTCAGAAGAAATATATTTTTCTCTCCCAGTATATATATATATATTTGGGGAGGCTGAGTATCATTTTGCTACCAACCAACCAAAGTTTGAGAGCTAAAAAATATCTGCACAGCTCTAAAAATTACATTTTTGGCTAATAGGTAAGAAAAGCCCTTCTCACTTTTATGAACGCAACCCTTATATAACCCAAAGGTTACGTTAGAATATTGTCCCAGTTACTTGAAAAAGTTGGGGAAATGACTTTCTTTTGAACCAGGAGCAGCCTTTTTCTGGCACTATCAAATCAGATAGAAGTTTAGAATTGCTTCTTCTTCTTCTTCTTCTTCTTATTATTATTATTAATAATACCCTGCCCATCTGGCTGGGCTTCCCCAGCCACTCTGGGCGGCTCCCAATAGAATATTAAAAACATGATAAAACATCAACCATTAAAAACATTTTAAAAATTGGGTTGCTGCACTTAAGAACTCACACAGCCCTATAAAAACATAGTAGGAACTATAACGACGTACCTCTCAGCTTGTTGAAAGCATCAGTCAGATTAGGAAATGTTTGATTCAGGTATAAGATGAGAATAAGAGATCAAAAGAGACACGTCTCTTAATTTTTTTGATTCTGTTAACATTTATGTAGATGCGGGAAATTTATTCCTCTGCCCCTCCCCCTCCTAAAGTATATTGAATTAATTAACATTATATCTCTGGCAATAGGCAAGACATTCAGCTCTGGAAAACAGCAACCATGGTGCTTCATTGGAAACATATTGGTCACTGGAGGAACACAAAACCAAATTCAATAGATCATTAAAAACAAACAGCCAAGGAAACAAATGCACATTAAAAGCTTACTTCCCCAGGCTAAAAATGCTGATCAGAAGTGTATCCAGTGCCAGATTTATGCATAAGCTAAACAAGCTATAGCTTAGGGCCCCACTCTCTTGGGGGCCCCAAAAAAACTTAAATGAAAAAAATCTGGATGTACATTTCCCAAATATAAGATAAAAAACAAATAAAATAAAACCTACATACAGCAACAGTGTTTTGTATTGTGTAGGCTCCTACGATGTAAGTCATGGGCCCCGCCTGCTAGCCTGCTCCCTAAAATATCACAGGTTTGCTCATTTCTATATATAGGGTGCCTACATTCTGCATGGACTCGTTATTTTTTTATGTGCAAATGGCTTTAGATACCTATTAGGTCCATAAACTGAAGGGACGTGGGTGGTGCTGTGGTCTAAACCACAGAGCCTAGGGCTTGCCAACCAGAAAGTCGGCGGTTCGAATCCCTGTGATGGGGTGAGCTCCCGTTGCTCGGTCCCTGCTCCTGCCCGCATAGCAGTTTGAAAGCACGCCAAAGTGCAAGTAGATAAATAGGTACCACTCCAGCGGGAAGGTAAATGGCGTCTCCGTGTGCTCCTCTGGTTCGCCAGAAGCAGCTTAGTCCTGCTGGCCACTTGACCCGGAAGCTATCTGTGGACAAACACCAGCTCCCTTGGCCAGTAGAGCAAGATGAGCGCCACAACCCCAGAGTCGTCTGCAACTGGACCTAATGGTCAGGAGTCCCTTTAGCTTTAGGTCCATAAATTACCATATAGCATATATTCAACACAAAAAACAGTGACAATTTGTTGTTGACAAAGGACAGCTGGGCATATAAAGGGCCCCATTACCTTCAGTAGCTTAGGGCTTCATCAAACCTAAATCCGGCCCTGAGTGTATCCCCACACACATGTTCAGTTAAGACAAGGAAAGAAAAATGGGACTCTTCTGATTTTGCAGCTGCCGTACTGTGGGACTGAGGTAAGGAAGAGAAGCAGTGAAGATACAATGGGGTGGACCTGCACTTTTAAGACGGGCCTGCTTTTCCAAGACATCAATCCAATGCTGGCTAAATTCCACAGGGAGAGAGATCTTAATGGGCTTGAGTGAGCAGGAAATTAGACAGAAAGGTAATTTCAGAGCCTTTTTTAACACTTGGCACAATGTCATGTGCCAAGGAACTGCACGCCTCCCTGTCTTTGACTTGGTTGTTTTTAGATGTTAAGAGAGCTTCCAGACTGTCCTCGGTTTTGGGTCGGATTCAGCCGCATCCTGGCAAATTCAGGCTGCTCAGTTAAAGGTGATTTCTCAAAAGATTGGACTTTTCACGACAAGGAGATGCATACCGTAAAGAGTGAGGCAACACTTCTTCTTCTTCTTCTTCTTCTTCTTCTTCTTCTTCTTCTTCTTCTTCTTCTTCTTCTTCTTCTTCTTCACCGTAATTTTGTATACCTATAACCATAGATCTCAGGGTGATTCATAACACTTGCTTGACATGACGTCATCTAATCTTCCCACAAACAAATCAGGACGAATCCTTCTTAAATAGCCAGTGGCATGTCTTCTTTCTCCAAACTGGCATATAATATCTCTGCAAACAAACAAGGCTGTCAATTTAAGCTTCTGGGTTTCTCTCTCAGGTGATGTTTCTATATTTTGAAACGTTAACAATTCACAGGAAGTACTTTTTGAAATGCTTGCTGAAATGTTGGTGCGTTCAAGGGGGCGTTTCTGAATGAGAACCCGTAGTAATATTTCTGAAATGGCATCTTTTGTATTGTGGGGTTAGGAGTGAGATGTATATTTATGACTGATATTGATTTAAAAGTATAAACCGAACATGGGTTTTTTGAGGGGAGAGGTTGCCTTAATTTTGATCTAAGCTGGAGAAGAATTTGGGGAAGAAGAATCAGAGCTGGAGAAGAATTTGGGGGCTTGTAAAGCTCACTTTGAGGTGGGCTTCACAATCCCCTGAAACTAGGGCTTTTTCCCCGGCTGGAACTCAGTTCTGGCACCTCTCAGGTGGGCGCCATTGCCATTATAAGAGAACAAAGGAGGCGTCTGTGGTGGGTTCTGGCACCTCTTTTCCTAGAAAAATAGGAAATAACGATTCTCCAATGCTGAGAACTTTGTTGACAAAAGTGGCTGTCTGAGGACAAATATGTGTAGAACAAAGAGAAGGAGAAGGACTGAGGCAAAGGAGGAAACCAAGTACAGGAAGAATATGACTTAAGGAACCTTGAATTTGCTTTACAGAAAGGAATCTGTCCAGAGACCCAAGCCAATCTCTGCTAAGAGCTAGCCTAAACAAACACTAGATCACATGGTAAAAATGTTCTTGGTCTGAATGACTTCAGGACGTAGGTGGGGGAATCACATGGTTGAATGTATTCCCACATTACCAGCAAAATCCCTGCATGCTCCAGGGGGAAGAGATTTTCTTGCCTAAAAGAAAATCTCTCTAGCATTCTATGTGCAGGATTGTTTATTTATATGCATTGAGGGTCCCCAAGTCATGTGGCCCACCACCTGCAGATCAAAGTGGGGCACTCTCAGTACAGCTAATGTTTTGGATTGAAGATGCTCTTTTGCCCTGGTTTGTGGTACCCCATCCACTGGAACCACGAGCCTTCCGAAATCCTTGCAAACAGTGACCTTGCAGACAGTGGAACCAGGGAATGCATTTAGCCAGGATAACGAGGTGAAGGGAGGATAATGTAGTCCTCACAAATTTCAACATGCAAATGAGGCCAGAGGGATGGGAAATATTTGCGGAGCAGGTTGGATGCAGGGCGATGGTTTCTCTCTGTCTTTGTGGAGAAGCACTGCTTTGTAGTGACGTATCCTAGCAATGTCTGGTTAGTGCTAGGTATATGATTTAATTGACAACAGACAGAAATCTAATCCTGACCTCTTCCCACCCCCACCCCCGCTTAAAAAAAAAAAAAGTTCTCTGCAGTGAGGGTCAAAGGAGAGTTAAGGGGGTGATGGGGGCGAAATGATAGGTGCCATATGGTTTTCGAATGTGAAACAGATTGGAGGTGAAACATCAGCATGAATGCCACATGCTAAGCTCCATTTGCATGGCAATTTGTTGACCACCACTGCAAGCCTTGTCTGGACCATGGACACTTTTCTGGCTTGCCACTACTTTGATGCATCAGAGAATGTGATTTCACAACTCAGAAGAAGAAAATTAAATATACAGAATCAGTTAAAACTGGTGGTGCTGAACCTTCTCTGGCATATTTTGTTGTTGTTTAGTCGTGTCCGACTCTTCGTGACCCCATGGACCAGAGCACGCCAGGAACTCCTGTCTTCCACTGCCTCCCGCAGTTTGGTCAAACACATGCTGGTAGCTTCAAGAACACTGTCCAACCATCTCGTCCTCTGTCGTTCCCTTCTCCTTGTGCCCTCCATCTTTCCCAACATCAGGGTCTTTTCCAGGGAGTCTTCTCTTCTCATGAGGTGGCCAAAGTACTGGAGCCTCAGCTTCAGGATCTCTCCTTCCAGTGAGCACTCAGGGCTGATTTCCTTCAGAATGGAGACATTTGATCTTCTTGCAGTCCACGGGACTCTCAAGAGTCTCCTCCAGCACCATAATTCAAAAGCATCAATTCTTCGGCGATCAGCCTTCTTTATGGTCCAGCTTTCACTTCCATACATCACTATTGGCACAACTGGTTGATAGCTATACGGACCTTTAACTATACGGACCTTTGTTGGCAAGGTGATGTCTCTGCTTTTTAAGATGCTGTCTAGGTTTGTCATTGCTTTTCTCCCAAGAAGCAGGCGTCTTTTAATTTCATGACTGCTGTCACCATCTGCAGTGATCATGGAGCCCAAAAAAGTAAAACCTCTCACTGCCTCCATTTCTTCCCCTTCTATTTGCCAGGAAGTGATGGGGCCAGTGGCCATGATCTTAGTTTTTTTGATGCTGAGCTTCAGACCATATTTTGCACTCTCCTCTTTCACCCTCATTAAGAGGTTCTTTAATTCCTCCTCACTTTCTGCCATCAGAGTTGTCTCATCTGCATATTTGAGGTTGTTGATCTTTCTTCCAGCAATCTTAATTCCGGCTTGGAATTCATCCAGTCCAGCCTTTCGCATGATGAATTCTGCATATAAGTTAAATAAGCAGGGAGACAATATACTTCACTATAAACATCAACGACTGTTGGCTCTGCTTACAGTTCCCCACAAAATGCCCACTGTAGTTGTTGACCAAGGGAAAACCAGAAAAGAGAAAATAAAACCAATTAAGTCAGGGGTAAATGTTTTTAATGTGTTTGTTTTTTTTTAATGGGACGCGGGTGGCGCTGTGGGTAAAACCTCAGCGCCTAGGACTTGCCGATCGCATGGTCGGCGGTTCGAATCCCCACGGCGGGGTGCGCTCCCGTCGTTCGGTCCCAGCGCCTGCCAACCTAGCAGTTCGAAAGCACCCCCAGGTGCAAGTAGATAAATAGGGACCGCTTACCAGCGGGAAGGTAAACGGCGTTCCGTGTGCTGCGCTGGCTCACCAGATGCAGCTTGTCATGCTGGCCAGGTGACCCGGAAGTGTCTGCGGACAGCGCTGGCTCCCGGCCTATAGAGTGAGATGAGCGCACAACCCTAGAGTCTGGCAAGACTGGCCCGTATGGGCAGGGGTACCTTTACCTTTACTTTTAAATGTTTTTAATAGGTTGATCCTCTGCACTGTAGAAAGCTGAATTGACACAACGGAGGTTTATCCAGAACTCATTATAGGTGCTTGTTCATGTTAATGAAGGATGGCCGAGAACTTGACATTTTAGAGCACAAACTTAAGCATGTCTACTCAGAAGTAACATGGGATTTTTTCCTAGGCGAGTGCATGTAGAATTGTGAGATTTGTAGTACGGAAGCCACCGTTCGAAGAATGTTAAATGTGAACATTACATTTCTAGGGAGATTGGAGCCAGCAGAACTTAGAGCAAGCGAAGAGCAACAGCCACAAAAACCTGTAGGTATTGCAGGCGGGATGGAGGTTGTAGCTCTCAAATCTCCTCTGGGACCAAGCCAACCTTTCATGACTGAAAAAGTGTCTGCTTGCCTGCTTTTTTTTCTTTACAGGCTGGAGTAGCAACGAACAAAGGACTGGCCTGTTCCCAATCATGATAGAAGCCAGCCCTGGATGCATGAACCTTTTCAACTACTGTAGGAATACGGACCCCTGTCTCTCTTTCCCCCGTCCCCTAGATAAACATTTTATCCAGCGGTACCAATTATGCACCCCAGAAATGCTTCTTTCAAAGAAACGCCCATTGTTTGGTAAGTTTGCTTCCCTACCCAGATCTTTCCATTGCTCCCTTGTCCCTCGTTGCTTGTTATTCCCCCCCCCTCTTTCTCCCCCCTCTCTCGAAGCTTTGAAACATGTTGTTTCCAGATGTAGGCCCCAAGTGCCCTGTCAAGAGCTTCCTGTCCTGTTGAGTTCAGAGCGGATGGAATTACACAAGACTTGGCTGAAAGAATCCAATGCTCCATCTCCTTAATTAAACCCTGGGATTGTACAGAGGCTGCCCTATTCCTGGCAAGGACCCTCGCGCACCCCCACCCTGCAACGTAGTAAACGAGCGGCTCATTAAAACCATGACATCCCCGCTGATGAGGTGTTCGAAACAAACATTTTCCCCTCGACAAATATATGGCCGACCTCCCCAATTAACTCTGCTGCCTTCTCAGAGCAGCCATTGAGGGCGGCTCACTGTTTGCACCCTTGCTGAGTCAATTGTGCTTTCTTGTATGGCAGGACCCTAAGTTAAAGACTAATAATAATAATAATAATAATAATTTGGCAGGGGCCTCCCCAGCCACTCTGGGCGGCTCCCAACAGAATATTAAAAACACGATAAAACAACAAACATTAAAAACTTCCCTAAACAGGGCTGCCTTCAGATGCCTTCTGAAAGTCAGGTAGTTGTTTATTTCCTTGACATCTGATGGGAGGGCTGTGGAAGCACTCAGGCGCAACTACCGAGAAGGTCCTCGGGCGCCACTACTGAGAAGGCCCTCTGCCTGGTTCCCTGTAACTTCACTTCTTGCACTGAGGGAACCACCAGAAGGCCCTCGGTGATGGACCTCAGTGTCCGGGCAGAACGATGGGGGTGGAGACACTCCTTCAGGTATACTGGGCCGAGGCCATTTAGGGCTTTAAAGATCAGCACCAAACGTACTGGGAGCCAATGTAGGTCTTTCAGGACCGGTGTTATATGGTCTCGGTGGCCACTCCCAATCACCAGTCTAGCTGACGCATTCTGGATTAGTTGTAGTTTCCGGATCACCTTCAAAGGTAGCCCCACGTAGAGCGCATTGCAGTAGTCCAATCAGGAGATAACCAGGGCATGCACCACTCTGTCGAGACAGTCTGTGGGCAGGTAGGGTCTCAGCCTGCGTACCAGATGGAGCTGGTAGACAGCTGCCTTGGACACAGAACTGACCTGTGCCTCCATGGACAGCTACAGGTAGGTAGCCGTGTTGGTCTGCCGTAGTCGAAACAAAATAAAAAAATTGTGCATGCACACGAAAGCTCTATAACATGCACCAGACTATAACACGCACATAGTTTTTAGAGGAGGAAAACAAGGGAAAAAAATATTCTAAACGAAATAGTGGATATATGATTTTTGTGGTTCATGCTGTGGCCACAGATGTGTGATCTGACAGTGAGTTTGGAGTAGCCCAATGCGAAAATCCTGAGGATCCATGTGGATCCATGCTTTGTAACCACAGAGGAGGGAAGGAAGGGGAACCATGGATCCTCTGCTCACGACTGCAGCAGATCCCCCCCGCCACCCGCAGGCATTCGCTCCATAACACGCACAGACATTTCCCCTTACTTTCTAGGAGGAAAAAAGTGAGTGTTAGGGTGCAAAAAATACGGTAGTTGGTCTCTAAGGTGCTACTGGAAGGATATTTTTTATTTTGTCCGTGGACAGCTGTGAGTCCAAAATGACTCCTAGGCTGCACACCTTCAGGGGCACACTGTTACCCCATTCAGGACCAGAGAGTCCCCCACACCTGCCCGCCCCCTGTCCCCCAAAACATTACTTCTATCTTGTCAGGATTCAACCTCAATCTGTTGGTGCCATTTATCCTCCAACAGCCTCCAGAATAATAGGAGATTTGAAAGGCCCTGTGTTGTTGTGCCTTCTTCACAAGACAGCAATATCTTGCTAGGTAACCAAAGTAGATTCGGACAGCATTTTCCTCCAGGGACGTTCTAGGTTCTTGCCCGGGCATAAACCCATGTGGTGGAAAGATGCCTAAAATTTGCACATGCTGGTTTACATGTATAGAGACGCTTCTGGGAATTTAAGACTGTGTGTGACAGGTGATGCCACCCACCCTATAAACAACATTTGGAAAAGCGTGTTAAGTTTTAAAAAGTGGGGGGTGGGGCGGGGGGAGAGACAGATGTAGATGATCTGGGCCCCTCTGAGCCATCGCCTAACAACATCCCTGATTTCTCATGCTAAACTCCTTTTGGAGAGTTTTCTGCGGCCAAAATTAAGTGTGTGTGTGTCGGTCAGAGCTCAAGCCATATATAGTGTTACAAAAGTTGGGTACCTCCCAGTGCCCCTAAAATTGGGTGGATGATGGTGGTCAGGAGAACCCCCAGAACTTTGGGGAGAATGGGGGGCTGTCATTTTGTATGGCTTCATAATCCCTCTGGTATAAATTCAGAACCCAATTCAGGTGTGGGTGAGGGATTCCCAAACCCTCTACCCCAGAAAAGTGGGGTGCTTAAATTGCCCATAGACTATAATAGAGCAAAGCCACATCACTGGGATGTTTTGGCAACTTAAACCCTCTGAGCTCTGGGAAATGGATGTGGACAGTAAGGTTCTTTTGCCCTGGCAGCCTGGTCCCCTATTGAAAGCAGCAGGTAGCAAAAATAACATGAAACAGATAAAATAAGCAGAAACAAATGTGTAATGAACTAAATGTGATTTTACCAAATGAGCAACTAAACCATTTCCCCCTTTGATATTGAAAATGAATGGAGCAACAAACGCATGCTGAGGACCAGCTGGGAAGGGGGGGGAAAGACTATTCCTCTGAGCCACATTCCAGTTTCTCCTGGGATTTGCAGCTGTGCATGTGTGAGAATAGGTTGCCCCTTTGATTTTTAAATGTTTTGAGAGCTGCTTTTCAGCCCCTGTTAAAGGCCAGAAGGTGAGATAATAATTCACTAAATAAATAAATAGAGTGGGATTCACTTAAGGCGTCCCATCAGCAGAAGCCCTGTGCAAAGTTTTGTGCTTGCGCAACAAGGATTCCTGCTTTGACAGTGTCCCCAAAATTGACTGGGTGGTGGTGGGCAGGAGAACTCCCAGAACAGCATATTGGGGGGAGGATGGGGGGCAGCATTCTGTCTGGCATACTGAAATCCTTGCGCTGATGGAACTTAGCGTGACATTGAATTCCTTCCATAATCTCCACATTTCTGCCTTTTCATAGAAACCCGCTAAAACGTTTACACAGCTTCTACAATATGTCCAGGCTTTGCAGTTGTGCAGAATGCAGTTGTGAAGGAGAGGAAGTTTCTGATTTAGAGAGCAGCCATTGGGAATGTCTATCAATACGTGTCTTTGTGAGTATAATATTACAGTATATAGAGGACTTTACCGAGAAGTCAGGTGTGTTGCCTTTGAAAATGGCAACCAAGAACTGCTTGGCAGGGGGTTGGACTCAATGGCCCTTGTGGTCTATTCCAACTCTATGATTCTATGAACTGATCTCGGTGATCTAAGAAGCGGCCCTTGGTTTTTATTATTTTCAAATCTTTGTGCATTGTGGCTGCTTCTAGTTTAATTAAAGGTTTTTCATGAGATACCTGAAGCTCTAGAATTTTTATTGTAATACAGTCTAAGTTTTTAAACTTTATTGTGTGTGGTTGAGCGCATTAGATAATTAGAAAAATATTAGATAATTACCTTTTAAATGCATTGGGCGCATTGTATAAACCTCTTTCGTGCCCAGTAAGTGTGGGATGCCTTTGCTGTGGCCCTTAGAACTCATGGCTGTTTTGCTTGAGAGCTTCCTGCCTTCCCACTCAGAGGATAGAGGCTTCACTGAGCAATTTTTGGGTCGCTGGTTGACCTCATTGGCCCCCCCCCACTTTCCCTCAGTGAAATTATGGCCTTCCTTTGTTAGGCGAATGACGTTTGTACGAGGGCGGAAATGGTATTGGGCAGGATCAACATAGTATGGGGGCCCCCATAAGGGACCTGGGGACGCGGGTGGCGCTGTGGGTAAAACCTCAGCACCTAGGGCTTGCCGATCGAAAGGTCAGCGGTTCGAATCCCCGCGGCGGGGTGCGCTCCCGCTGCTCGGTCCCAGCGCCTGCCAACCTAGCAGTTCGAAAGCACCCCCAGGTGCAAGTAGATAAATAGGGACCACTTACCGGCGGGAAGGTAAACGGCGTTTCCGTGTGCTGCGCTGGCTCGCCAGATGCAGCTTTGTCACGCTGGCCATGTGACCCGGAAGTGTCTCCGGACAGCGCTGGCCCCCGGCCTCTTGAGTGAGATGGGCGCACAACCCCAGAGTCTGTCAAGACTGGCCCGTACGGGCAGGGGTACCTTTACCTTTTTTTATAAGGGACCTGAGAGGAGGATTGACCACAGCACTCCTAAGCTTGAGGTATCGGCCTGGTAGGAATCTGCACCTGGGTCGCCCAGTGAGAGCTTCCTTGCTTGGCTTGCACCATGGCAAGGTTCAACATTGGTTGACTCCCATCACACAAGCTTGAAGCGGTCCAAACCCAGTGGATCCATTCCATCAACATGGGGCTTCTGGAATGATCAACTGATCCTGGCTCCAATGCCATGCCAACCCTTGCCCTGCCTGCTGTTGTTAATGAATATTCGGCCTGATTTTACTCTATCACTGTTATACAGTCTGCTTATTTTGCTGCTCTCATGGGTCACATAATGTGTCTTCCTGGGCAAATAAAGATCCCGTCCCTTTGGGGGCACTTATGAGATCTGTTTCTCTCCCTTTTTGCATGCCAGAAATGGCTTAAGCTTGCTGTTTTTGTTGTTTTGCAGCTGATATTTGTACTTTAAGCTTTTATTAATACTGTAACTAACCTATCTAGAGATCAATGGTGACATATGACTGTCGTAAATAAATCAATATAGCCACATGTGATGGGGACTGATGGGAAAGGAAGTGATCCCTAAAGCACAAAGGCCTAGATCTGTTTAGGATTCCGTGCTGCTATGATCTGTTTTGCAACATAGCAACTTCAGAAGTTGCCTTTGATTATTTTTTGCGCAGACATCTACACTCCATACAGAAGGAAATGTACTGAATGTTCCTGTGATTATTGTTCCACTAGGAAATCATTCACAGTAATACCCTGCAAGCAGAGTAATTACTATTTACAAAGATCTGATAAAGATGCACCGGTCTTATATTTTCCATTAGTACTGGACTATGGTAATTTCCTGTCTTTTTATAGTGTAGGCACTTGGGATTCCAATTCATTCTCAGAACTCTGAAACCATGAGCGGTGAAGAGGAAAAACACCCTTTTTTCTAGGATAGATGGTTGCTCACACTTCATCACAGGAAATTCCAGGGCGATGGAGGCAGGCCATTATAAAGCTTGGCTACCCGGTCCCAAAATTCTAGACTCAGCAGTGCCCTGGAAAATGATGGGAAATAACTGGGGAATACCAGTTAATTCTGAAGTCCCACGTGTGTGGCTGGCTGCCTGAATTCAAGAAAGCATGCAGGGCTTGACTCACTCTTTAGCCAAAACAGGCCCCAGCTGAGTGTAAAACACAGATCTATGCAGCAAGGCACGGGAAATATAGATTGTTAGACCTTTAACGTTCCAGTGTTAAGCGCTTAAAACGCTGCTTCCCCCACCTTTACTCCTCTCAAATAGATCACAAACTTAAGTAAGTTTAAATGCTTTACTTACAGTAGCCATAGGCATCTCACTCAGGTATCGTTCAATGCTTACAGCAGAAACAACACAGGCAAGGTAGTCTTGGTTACAAAATACAGAGGTTGGTCTCAGACACGTGGTCTGAGTCTGAAGTCCCAGCCGTGTGCTCAGCTTACATGGTTCAAAGGGGGGGAGAGAGAGATGAGAGAGGAACCGGAAACAAACAATACTTCCTCCCTAAGGGTAAAGCTCCTGCCAACCTAGCAGTTCGAAAGCACGTCAAAGTGCAAGTAGATAAATAGGTACTGCTCCAGCGGGAAGGTAAATGGTGTTTCCGTGCGCTGCTCTGGTTCGCCAGAAGTGGCTTAGTCATCCTGGCCACATGACCCGGAAGCTGTACGCCGGCTCCCTCAGCCAATAAAGCGAGATGAGCGCCGCAACCCCAGAGTCGGTCAAAGGGTCAGGGGTCCCTTTACCTTTAAAGGTAAGGCACCTAGCTGCGCCTTCTTTGACAATTTACAGCTCTGTGGTCCTTAAACCCTTTCTTATTGGCAAACACAGTTGTGTTTGATGGCATGAAGTCTCCCACAGAAAGGGGAGGTGAAAGCCATCAACAAAATCAATCCTGAGGGATGGGATGAGAATGATCTTACATAGAAGACTGAACAGGAGTGAATGAAGTGGCAGATCTTCCTTTCTGCCAACCATTTTCTCACTCAGTGGCTCCTAGATGAAAGATGCCCACAGGGCTGCCATTTCAGCAGTCCTTGTGTTATTAGTAACCGACATCCCACTGGCAGGGATTGGCTATGAATTATCCACAAATAAGCTTAAATGTGACTGAACACCATTGTTTGTTTCTTTTGATGATGGAAGAATTCTGTGAAAACAAAAAGATCAGAAGACAGGACTGAATTGCAATTTCCAAACTGGTTGATTTCCGTTTAAATGGGAAGTAAAAATCCCACTGTCCCGAGGGGAACAAGATCTAAAAAGCAAAAGGTTCAGAGTTACCTCCTTTTGTGATGGTTTTGAGCTTTCCCACAGGTAGTGATTACCAGTGACTCAGTAGACAGAGGCCTCCGGTCTGAATTCTTTATTACATGTTACTCAAGCAGTCCAAACAAACTCATCAGTTCTGGTAATATTACCTCTTCTGAAGAGCTAAGCTTTTGGAATCATGCAAATTGAGGCTTTTAAGAGAGATCAACAGACCCTTGCTTCTGAGTGGGATTTCTTCTTTCAGAGTGCTGTTTTTATTCATTAATTTCCAACTACATTCACATATTATAGGGATCAGAGGGGGAAGACATCTGAGTACACATAATATCAAAGTAATTGAAGAAGCAAATGGTTCCACCCATTTTTAAAATAGAGCATATATTGTCACATATATAAGAACCTTCAAAACAAGTTTTCTCTTTATTTCTTAGGAAATGGGGTATTTGAAGTAAAACCTATTTTAGACGGAAAGGAAGAGTATCAACATGTGTTTACATCAATAGGAAATAGCAAAGGAGTGTCATAGAGCTTTATGCTGATGACAACGTAGTGTGTGCACACTCGTAGGATGACCTCCAGACCATCCTAAATATCTTCAAAGAAGCTTACGGAAAGCTTGGCCTATTGCTGGTAGAGTATGTGGAACTGGCGAAGTTGACGGAGAAAATTAGGAATCGACCCGACGAAAGATTTCAAGGAGACTGGAGCAAATTTATAAATTATTCAAAAGAAAGTTGTAAACACCTAAAACGTTTGTAGCATTAACGTGAAATGTTTTGTAATGTGGAAAGAAGGAGCTAATTTACAAATGAAAGGGTGATTGTTAAATGAATATATATGGTAAAGAAGTGATTATAGAAATGTAATAAATATGTTAAAATAGTAGGAAAGTGAGAAAGAGTGACGGAAGGAAGTCGTTACTTGTTTGGAGTAGTGATGTAAGCTTGAGATATGTATGATATGTATGATAAAATGAAATGAAATATGGAAAACTCAATAAAAATCATGATTAAAAAAAAGAAAGCTTGGCCTATTGCTCAGTATCCAAAAAACCAATGTGCTGCATCAACAAACACAAAACAACCTCTTTGCAGCACCACAAATCCAACTTAATGGTGTAATGTTGGAAAATGTTGATAATTGTTCCTATCTAGGCAGTTATCTTCCCACAAGGGCCGGCACTGATGCCGAAATCCAGCATTGCCTGAGCTCTGAAAGTGCAGCTTTCTCCCAATTGAAGTGCAGAGTGTTTGAGGACTGGGACATTCGCAGGAAAACCAAAATGCTTGCTTACAAAGCTGTTGTACTATTAATTTTACTGTGTACTTGTGAAACATGGACCACTTATAAACGCAATCTCCAACTCCTCGAAAGGTTTCATCAATGGTGTTTCTGAAAATTTTTACATATCACTTGGGGAGACAGGCGAACTAATGTCAGTGTACCGGAAGAAGCAAAGATCACCAGTGTCAAAGCAATGATTCTTCAACATCAACTTCGTTGGACTGGTCATGTTGTTCAGATGTCTGATTATCATTTTCCAAAGCAACTACTCTATTCCTAACTTAAGAATGAAAAGTGTAATGCCGGTGGACAACAAAAGAGGTTTAAAGACACTCTCAAGGCACATCTTTAAAAATACAGTATAAACATCAACAACTCGGAAACACTGGCCTGTGAGCGCTCCAGTTGGAGAACAGCCTTTACCAAAGGTGTCGTGGACTTTGAAGACGCTCTAAATCAGGATGAAAGGGAGAAACGTGCTAAGAGGAAGGCACGCTTGGCAAATCCTCATTGTGATCAACTCCCAACCGGAAACCTATGTCCCCACTGTGGAAGGATGTGTGGATCCAGAATTGGCCTCCACAGTCACTTACAGATTCACTGTTAAAACTGTGTTCATGGAAGACAATCTTCCTCGACTATGAATGATTGCAGAAAGAAGAAAGAAGAAAGAAGAAGAACCCAAGAAGTTAGCACTCATGATTTCGGTGCAACTCTAGCAGGGACTTGGAATGAACAGCGAGAGCTTACACTTTGAGCATACTCAAACCCCACAATATTCTGTTACCTTCTTTCCTCTAGTTCAGTGTAATGTACTTCTGGTTGTAAGGTAGAACAGTGAACCAGGAGTTTCCTGTGCAAACATTCCCTTAGACAAGATTTATAGGGTCTGGTTTTCCTGCTTTCAATCATTTCCTTTCTAAAGGGTCCATTCCCCTTCCTAGTCAGTTGCTTAAATTAGGGCCAGTTTGTGCCCTAATATAACACTACTTTTCTCCTCTTGTCTGTGACCTGTGTGTTTCAGTGCTGTTTTCTTTCCTGAGTCAGGAAGAAAGGGGCAGCTGGTTGCTGCCTTCCACTCATCGCTGTTATTTAACATCCAGTATGTTTGCTTTCCTTCCACAGCTGCAGTTCTGTTCTGCCTGCATTCAGTCTCTGACACCTTTGCTGGGAGCCAAATCCTGCTCATTTGCATGTGGGCAGCTCCATCAAGCTTTGAGATTTCCCAGGCATCCACAGAATTTCTCGGTGTCCCTCCACCATAATTACTTTCGCTGGGCAGCCTCATTCCATGAACACATATTATTGGCACCCTTGGTTGAAAACAAACAAACTTCGCTGCAGAAAGATTAGCCATTTCATTTTAGGACCATACGTTTGGTTGAGATGAAACCACAAGGTATAAAGTCAATTTATCAGGATTATCCTGGCTTCAGCTAACCTCACATTGCACCAGTTGTGCAATGCTGGCTTTGTGCTGGTTCACAGCACACATGTATGTTCTCACAGTGGTGCTAAATGGATCGTCCGTGCCATAGATTCATGTTCCCAGGGTTGGCCTTGGATAGACAAAAGTGGTCAGAGATGCAGGTAAAGTGCCCCTTTGCCATTTGACCAACTTTTAAATACCTTTGTTTTTATTGCATTTGTAGCCCATTTTACAGCTTAGATGCATGATCCCAACCCCCTGTCATATAAGACAATAAATTTGAATCAATGGATTTGTTAATAAACATTCACATATGTGCTGTTTAATGGATAAGAACATATGTTTTGGATTTTCTCATGGAGAAAAAGAAATGAAGAAACGTGAACATAATGCTGGCCTCTCAGATCAGTCTTGCCAGTTTTCAAGTGACGATGCAGTAGTGGTTTCAACTACTTAGCTGAATCACTAGATAATAATAATAATAATAATAATAATAATAATAATAATAATAATAATTTAATTATTTGTATGCCGCCCATCTATCTGGGTTCCCCCAGCCACTCTGGGCGGCTCCCAACAGAATATTAAAAACATGATAGATGCAGACAATGACCGTCAGCAAATGAAATACGGTTGCCTGACATTTAGACCTGGAACTGTTGCACTGAGAAAAGACAGCTGGAGAGGCCTCTTTCCTACCCTTCTCCCACGTCTTCCTCATCCAAGCTCCAGAAGAAAGCCAGGAACCTTTAGAACACAGAAGAAATAGCTTTTGAAAACGATGGCGTACGTGGAACTGGCAAGATTAACACCAAAGATTGGAGACAAAAATGACGAAACATTCCTTGAGGACTGGAAACCCTTTTATCGAGTATTTAAAGAACTACAATAGTGAGATGAAATTTTACAAATTTACACCAGTCTTTAGAAAATACTTGATTTTCCTGGTTTTGGATCTTCCCCGTAAATTTCGCCATTTCCGCATATTCCATCAATTCTGTCTGCCATTCTTCTTTTGTTTGTATTTCTCCTTCCTTCCACCTCTGGGCTAGTAGCATTCTTGCTGCCGTTGTTGCATACATTAAAAGTATTTTATCTTCTCGTGGAAACTCTTCACCTATAATACCTAGTAAAAAGGCTTCCGGTTTTTTAACAAATGTATTTTTAAACATTTTCTTTAATTCATTATATATCATTTCCCAGAAAGTCTTTACCAATGTACATGTCCACCACATATGGAAAAAAGTACCCTCTTTCTCTTTACATTTCCAACACAATTTAGAACTTGTTTTGTACATTTTAGCAATTTTACTCAGTGTTAGATACCAACAGTACATCATTTTCAGTGAACAGCATGCAGTAAATTTTATTTCCTCTTTCCATAATTTTTCCCAAGATGGAAGTTGGATACTATAGCCAAAGTTTCTAGCCCTATGTATCACCTATCTAATTCCTATGTATCAGCACCGCCTTAACTTCTTCATCTTTTGTATGCTATTCTAAAAGTAATTTGTATATTTTTGATAAGACTTTCACGTTGTTTTCCAACAGATCAATATCAAACCTCGATTTCGTTGTGCCAAAACCTTTCTTTCTGTCAACCTTAAAAACATCATTTAATTGGTGATACTGCAACCAATCCATTAACAATTCTCTAATATCCTCAATTCCCCCCACCCCCAGTTTTAATTGGTCTCCTGCCTCTTTTATTGAAGGGCATTCTCTGCAAAGGAAAACAAGACACATATGTGGCTGGCTGAACAAATCCAGCTGAATAAAGGTCTACGTTGAAATTTTTCAAAGGTTTTTTATGGGTGAAAAATCAGTAAGATTTATTTTTATTTTTTAAGGAATTAGAATAAGGAAAACGTCTACTCTGGCAGAAAAGCGGCATGACAGCAATAGGGAAATTAGATGTGAGGCCTTTGCGTCCAGCCTCCTCGCAAGGGGATGAAGTAACTGTGCCAGTTCACGGCCTTCTGTAGCTCATCGTGTTATGAAATGCAAATTGACAGAGGCGATGAAGAAAAGGACTGACACGCTGGCAGGAATCTCCTTGTTCATACCACTTCTCCTCCCTTCCACCGTTCTTTTTCCGTTCTCTCTCCAGAAATTATTCCCATCCACCCCCTCTCCCCAGCCGCATGTCTGGAGGTACCTTTCCTCTTTCGTTGGAGCAAAGGGCTTGTGGCATTATTCATATCCCAGAAAGTGCGGGAGGGGGAGGGAAGAGGTTGGAACATCTGGATTGCAGGGCATCTCTCTTGCAGCACGGGCCTTTGAAGAGGGAAACATTCTGTTTTCATTTTGCCCCCCCCCCCGGCGTCATGTGACGTGCTGCTCTTTGTTAAACTTTCTAGCTTCTCTATTGGCTGGAAGTGTTGTTTCGCTTGGAGGTGGAGAGGGACAACCTCAAAAGGCAGTCGTGGGCCATTTGGTTAGAAAACTAAAACAAAGAGCTTCAGCCGATGGTTTTCTTGGGTCCAGATCCAGATGTGAGGCCATCGCAGATGCAAAGCACAATACACAGAAACCCCTGAGATGCACTTATGATCTCGTCAGAAAATAAATCAAGTGTAGGAAGGGAAGTGAAAAGGACATTTGTAAGGCTATCGAGCAAAAACCTGAACTAACTAAGCTTAAGATAGGGGACCAGATATGTGAATGTGAACCAGATATTCGCCATAAAATGTCTTAACGTGTTATGAATTATCACCATCTATCAGACGCAAATACACAAACCAATCAAAGTTAAGCACTTTTAAGGGCCTTTGAGTTCAATAGCGGGAATCTAAGCCCTTTTGAAACTTCTGTTTAAATCATTGGACTTCAAGGTACTTAACTTTAATTAGATTGTGCTGGTAGTCAGGAATCCTATGTAAGGAAATAGGTTGGTTTAGTTATGCGGGATTCATGACTCATTTTAACTCTTACAAATTCCATGAGTCACTCCATTAAGACCAGTGAATTAGTAACAGACAAAAGCATTAGTCAGTACACATGTGGCTATTAATTTCTGGTCATTAAAATGTGTCATATTGCTTAAATGTGTGTGTATAAGTCATCTGAATAGTGTGCCATGAATGTCAAATACATCAGATGAATGGCACTGGTGTTTGATGATGTTTGATGCTCATTGTGGGTTGATTGCCAAACTGGACTTATAAAAATAATAATCTGCTTTTCACTGTGAATTTGTCCTCATTTCTTTTTATTTACAAGAGAGATTTTGATCATGACACAGAAAATTACATTTTACACTATCACTGTCATCACTGGCATCATTTATTAGACTTGCTAGCCTCTTGTATCGCAGAGGTCTCCAAGTGACTTAATCATCATACTAGTCCTTAGGAAGTCTGGGGTGTGTGT